AAAACTGTTCTTTACTGTTATCTCAATTTCGATGTAATTATTTTAAAAAAAAAAATATAAATCATATTCATCTAAGAAAAATCTATGTTCGAAAAATTTATAGTTCGCGTAATGAATATTTTACTTTTATATTATTTTCAGTTTTTATAAAAGAATAATTTCACGTCTTATCTTTTATAGATAACGGCGAGAATGACGCCATCGTGGTTAAAGGACGTCAGTAATATCTACGCTGAAAGAAATTTAACCACGTTCCAAAAGATTTTAATTATCAAAACCCTTCGCCCGGATTATTTGCATACAGCGTTATCGAAATTGGCTGCGGAAGTATTAGGTAATTTAATTTAGATTAATATTAATATTAATATAATCGATTCATCGAAATGATCAAGCATGTACAAGTATCAAAATTATCAATAAAAATTGAATTTTAAACTATTCTTTTTAAAAAACAAAAAAAAACAAATTTCGATTTATTTTGATAAAAAATATCAATTGTTCCTTTCTCGTTGTTATAAAACGTATATGTCGATTATTGCTCATGCTGTTAAAAATACTAACCCATTTTTTTTTGTTTTCTTTTTACACTATTGTTTGTTAAGGGGTGAAGGATTTAGCGCCACCACATTGGTCACTGAGGAAAGTAGCCGAACACGAAACCACATATCCTGTGTTGCTACTTCTGTCACCAGGAGCTGATCCTGGTTCTGAGTTGAGGGCATTAGCGAATAATCGTGTCGCATCCACCACAGGATTTGTCGAGGTGTCCCTGGGACAGGGTCAAGTTGTCCAAGCTGAACTTGCATTGGAGAATGCTTGTCGGTAATATATCATTTTGGAAATATTATTTAAAATATTATTATGGAAATATTATTTAAATTTATTTCTATGAATTAATTCTATGTTTAACAGTGATAATTAATAACCACCAATTCTGTAGTTATTTTATATCAATAATTTAAAATGTTTAAAATATTGATTGATTAATCATATTTTAAATTATATTTATAATAAAAATTTCTATTTAATATTTAAAGCCTTGTTGTTGTGCATAAATATAGAAAGTATGCCGAAAAGTTAATATAATTTATAACAATCGATAATGAATTAAAAATTTATAAATAAACTGATATTTTTTTAATATTAATATTTCACTTTCGTGAGATAAATTGTATAGATACAAAATTTTTAACAATCTTTTTATTGCTTAACATATAATTTATTTTATTATTTCAAAATATTAATGATATAAATTGATATTCATTGCTATTAAATATTTAAAAATATTCAAATAACAATAACATAACATAAATCTTTTAATCAGACTTTTTTAAATGATTACTTATATATGAGAATAATGTAGATATATTTATAATAATATATCTCAATATAAATTGATGGCCATTCTAAATTAAAAATTAATTGTCTAAAAAATTATTTTTGTTTTTTTTTTTACAAACTTTCTGTATTTTCTTAAGATTTTAATTATATCTTATTAGATTAAACTTTTATTTTTAATTTAAATATTATGATCAAACGTTTATAGTAGTATTCTAACAGTTCTGCAAATTTTCCACTTTAATTCATAATTATGTATAATAAATTTATGTCATAATCCTAGTCAGAAGATCCTACTCAGCTTATAACCGTCGGATCCAATTTTCATCAACAAACGTGGAACAATGCCTTTGAGTCTTAATAGAGCATAAGAAATTTCTATGTAAATGTACAGTACTAGTCTCATTATTCTCACGAATACCGTACCAGAGGTATAAGGTGAATCCTGACTTGAAGGATCTTTTCAATGGTGCATCATATCGTATTAAATTAATTATAATCTTTGTTTTATTATATATTTTAATAATATTTAGATAAGAAGAATAATTCTCTAATGATGTATGCATTATGAAAAAATTATCAAGCTTCACAAGTTTATTTTTCTTGTCTATTACATTTAATTTTTTTCTTTATTATATTTATTATATTTATTATATTTCTTTATTATATTCTTTGTTACTATATTTTTTTATATTTTCTTTCCTTGTTTTTTATATTATTTTGATTTTGTTTTATAACAATTTCTCTTCTAATATTTTCATATTTTGTATACAGAATTGCATTAATATTAAAATAGTCATGCTTATTTAAACACTTAATAATCAAAGAAAAGTATAAGAAAAAAGATTAGAAGAATTCTTACTTAGACTCTTTCTCATAAATATGAAATATTTGAAAAGTATTTTTTTTTATAATAAATAATTTAACATTAAATTGTTGGATAATTTGGAAAGTATATAAGATTATTCAATATTAATTTAAAAAATTTATAGGCCCTATTTGAATTTTAAGATTAGATTTTTTGAAAATTTAACGGAAAGAAACGGAATGAAAATTATTTTTCACGATAAATATGAATCAAATAAAAAAAATAAAAAACGAATCAACATTGTTTACCAAACAGAAACGGGAACTGGATCCTCCTCAGCAATCTGCATCTCGCCCTCAACTGGCTTCCCCGATTGGAAAGTCTCCTTAGATCGCCCATGTGCACGGCCAACAAGAATCCCGCAACGAGGATCTGGTTAACCACCGAGGAATGCATGGGATTCTACCCAAGTCTCGCTGGTCTCTGCTTGAAGCTCGCTTACGAACCACCCGAGGGTGTGAAAAGGAACGTGAAACGTTCCCTCCACCAACTCCATCAAAAGCACGAGAACGCCATGAACGTACCTGGCAGCCTTTTGCTGTCCTGGTTGCACGCCACTCTTCAGGAACGGCGAAAGTTCGTACCCCAGGGTTGGATCAGATCGTACGAGTGGAACGAGTCGGACCTCGAAGCTGCTTACGAATTGGTTGTGAGGAAAATGGAGGGCAAGAGGAGTGAGAAAGACAAGGATGGAAATTGGCAGACTGGGAGAGGATTGTTGGACGTGGCCATTTATGGGGGCCGTCTTCAGGACGATTACGATATGGGGGCGCTGTGCTCGATCGTTCGAGATGTCTGGTCGTCCGAGGTGTTTGAAGGACGTAGGAAGTTGGCAGGTGTTCTCAGAGTGGCTAACGATTCGTTCGAGGACGTGGTCAAAGCTTTGGAACACGTTTCGGATAACGACTCGCCTAAGGAGCGCTTTGGATTACCCGCGAATGCGCACAGAGCTTGGGAGAGGACCGCGGCTGAGGCGGCATTGCTGCATTTAAAAGGTTCGTTTAATTTAATATTTGATAAATATTGATAATAATCATTGAAATGAATCGATAATGGATGAAAATAAATATAATTTCTATTTTATTAAAATTTATTATTGTTAACTTATTAACAATATTATAAATTTTATTAACAATATTATAACAATATTATAAATTTGTTATTGTTAATTTATTATTGTTTATGCGTGAATAATAGTTCATTGATTTTTTGAATACATTCGAAGTATTAATGACACTAATAAAAGTGATTTAAGTTACTGTAATATAATTTATATAATAATATATAATAATATAATTTTTTCAATCAAATATTTATTTATTTTTGTTGCAATTTATTACATAGGTAACATTTTCACGTGTCTTAACAATAATTTTTAATTAAAAAAAGTAGAAATTCTAATCTTTTATCCGTTAATGATATTTTAACGATATTATCGATATATCGAAAATTATTAATAAGATGTCAATAAAATATCGGTAATCAAAACACATATCTTCGAGACGCAATATTATGGGAATTTCTTATTCACGTCATGAATTTTTTCCAGAAAAATGAAAAATAGATTTCCTTTTGCATATGCGTTTGATAAAAGTATTGTTCAACCAATATGTTTTGGATTTTATTACATTTTTCATCTTTTTGCTATTGTTTTTTCCATCTATCGAAAATCAATATCCACCATCAGGAACTTCTTTTGATTTTTGATGTGGTTTCGAACACATGTGCAAGATATATGATTGATAATTGAAAGAGGAAAAAGGCTATTATGATACAAAATGTAAAAAATAAGATTTTTATTAATCTCAACATCTCTTGTTATTTCTTCATTTATAACTACGTTGCGAAAATTCTATTACAATTACACATATAAATGATTGTTTTTCCTTATTTTAATTTCTGTGCAAGAGAGAGTTACATCATGAAATTCTTGTCTAATATTATTATAATAATTGCTGCACATAAACACAGTCGTTTCGTGAACAATGATAAAATTGAAAGATATAACTTCTATGTTATCTATTATTTATTTGATTAGTAGATTATATATATACTATAAATAAAATTTACAATTTATCATTTTCAAATTATTTATAAAATATACATGTAATAAAATGTATAAAAAATGTGTGTTTTGTCAAGTAAAATAATTACATGAAATATCTTGCAATAAAAACAATTTTTATTAAAGCTTCTTTTTTAATTCAATTTTTAAAATTAAACAAAGAAAAAAGAAAATAAAATAAAAAAACATTTTTTGGAAATACATTATCTTTATAGTAATAAGTTTAAAAATTCTAATTATATTAATTAATTCTAATTTCTTTGAAACATTATTTTTCATAAAAGCTTTAATATCGTTTAATTATCACTGTCATCATAGCATTACTCTCTTTTGTATTAAACCCTATAATGAAAGATCAAAGGATCAGAGAATTCAGATAAATTTTCATAAAATTATCGATAGGTGTTTTAATCAAAGTGTCTGGTAACGACGAGAAGAATAGCAAGAAAATGGAAATGAAAATTCAAAGAGATTTGAAAGAATTGATTGATCGCAATGGTTCGATATTTGGGTCATCGAAAGTGGAACAAGAAAAGAAGAATAAAAATCCATTGAAAAATTTTTTTATCGATGAAATGAATTTGACCAAGAAAACATTGAATCTTATTCGTGTTGACGTGGAATCCGCACGTTTCGAGGATACCAAGGTAAAATTACAAACTTAATCATCCTTTCTAACAATTATTTAAAATATTTTTTCATACATAAATATATTATCTTCACCTGAAAATTATTATAAATCCAATAACAAAATAATCAAAAATACTTTGATCATTTATTTTTTAGATTTTATATTAATTATTATTATAATTTACTTTAAATCAGGTTCGTAGATTCAAAACTTAATTTTGCTGTAAGTTAACTATATAAACGTGTGTCGCTTATAATCCATTCTTAGTATCAACTTTGAAACTATCCTCGTTTACAGTAACCCTTACTTTATAACTGGGTTAAAGTTAGAGAATCAAGCGCCAGTTAGCATCTTCAATTTCCAGACTCCCAAACATTGGATGGAAAACTGGAAGTATGGTCCAAACGAGATTTTGCCTTTCGTTAAAGGCTTGTTACTTAGGCATCAAGCTTTGGAAGGATTCTTGTCCGAATTTTTACCTGTCGTCGATATGTCGCGATTAGCAAGGCCGCGGGCATTTTTGACTGTTCTTAAACAACACACTGCACGTGAAACGCGACAGCCTATGGAGAATCTTCGTCTTTGCGTGAACTGGTTCGAAAATGACAGGAACAACGATTGGAAGATATCGTTGGTCATCGAGGGACTTTTAATATCTGGTAATTTCATTCGATTAATTTAAAAAAAAATAATCTAAATATTCCAGAGAGATCTGTCAAATTAAATTAAAGGAAAATTAAATAATCAAATACATAGTATATCGGCTATAGAATTATAGAATTGATATTACGTTATATTTCTTAATAAATATCTTCGAGGATTTCTTGTAATTCGGGATATATTTCATAATTAAGCACGAATTTTCTTTAACTCTATTTCAATAATTTTTATTTTATATTCATTTTCACTAATTTTGTTTTCATTTCTTGTAAAATTTCACTTTGATCTGATTATTAATTGCTGACCAGCTTGTGTCAAATTTTCTCAATACATCTGTTTCTCTTTTTTTCCATATTCTGTTTCTTTCTTTTCTATATCCATCTTTGTCCTTTTGAATATTTTTAAAGAATTCCCCTTTTTTTTACAATAAAAAAGTTTGCTTATATCACACAATTTACTATTATAATTCTCATTGTTAACATATTTATTTATCGTTAATATTCCATCAATAATAATACGTATAATTCAAAAATAAAATATACATTTTCTAAAATATATATTAATTTAAATAATTTATAATAATATATAATATTTAAATAATTTATAATATTACGTGTAGACATTGAGATTAAGCAAAAATAAATTCAATGATACGAGACTTACTTAATAAAAGAGAAAATATTTTATATTCAGGAGCTGTAATAGAAGATGGCACTTTGAAGGATTTAGACGCAAACGCAGCTTCCATTGCAACTGCGCCGACTTGCCAAATTGCCTTCTTACCTGAAAATTACACCGAGGATAAAGCAAGAGATAAAATAGATTATCATTTAGGAAACGACGTAAAAGATATCGTTAATATTCCAGTTTACGCGAATTCGCAAAGGGATGCATTAATTTGCTCGCTTCCGGTTGGATGTCTTAGAGAGGAACACGATAATTGGTTACGTCGAGGTGTTGCTTTTCATCTAAAATTGACTTAGTTTCTGAATCTTGCTTGTATTCAATGCAAATAGATCATTAAGTAGAATTTATGCAAAATGTATATTACAGTTGTGTTATAACTGAACATAATTTATTCTATATTACTATTATTGTTACTGTATTGCATTAATGTATAAAATTGTACTAATTAATATATTGGTTTGTACATGATTATCTTGTTTATTGCCTTGTTTGTCGAATTGAACACAATATTCTTTGATTATTTTTAATTTTTTTTTACAAATAAAATATATATTCAAATAATATATATAAAATAATATATAATTATTTACAAATAAAATATATATTTCTTTGTTAATATAACGAAACTGTATATATATTATAATTATAATTTAATTCAATAGAAATATTTGGTTGTTAAAAGTTTTTTCATTTTTTCTTTCTTATTATACTATACTATATAGATATATTTTTCTAAAATAACGAATCTCACTTACGTATTGTGATATTTTATTATAAAATTTATAAAATTTTATATATCTTATGTTCAAAATATTTTAGTATCAGAATTCCATTTCCCTAAAATATCCATTCTTCTTTTTTAAAATAATTTTGAATTAGGTATTTGAAAAAGCTTTTAATTTAATTGAAAGAATCTTTTTATGGAGAATCATTAAATTATCTGATTATTCTATTTAATAGGAATCTATAATCTAATCAATATATAACTTATTAATTTTCTAATTATATTAATATTATGATTTCAGAAGACAATATATTTCTCAAATCATGATCATTATATATGCAAATAAAAAGAATTTTTGGAATAATTTAATGCAGAATATAAACGTAAATTATTTCATTACTTTATTATTTCTTTTGTTCTGAATATATCTGATTTATGAACAAATCAATAATTTATAGAACATAAATCAAAATATTATAACAGATATAAAGATTTATTTGATGTAGTTTTAAAATAAACTCATCATTTATTCATAAAGAAACTGTCCAATTTTCATCCTTTAAATTCTATGATATATTTTATTAAATAAATATTAAATAAAATACGCGTACAGACTAACAAATATCTATTTTCACTTAAATTTTCAAGAAAATTTCCAAACGAAAAACATAGTTAAAAATAAAAAAAATCGTGAATAATCCAACGTAAATATATATTCTTGAAACTTTAGTTATAAAAAGTTACAAGTCCATGTCTATTTGTAGTTTTATTCTTATTTTCTTCCACAATTTACGTTGACATATTTATACATACTTGTTATGCAACGGAATATTTTCAATTGCTCTTTTAAGCTTACACGTATTCCCTTTAAAACTCTCGAGCGCTTTTACGATATAAAGTTATAATTCACTCCGAGTTTTCTGAAAAATACACATTACACCTTGTGCATAAAAATGTATACAAGTTACGAGTTTACGAAACAATACGTCACTTGATCGTTCCACGCTTCTCGATGACTTTTTTTCCATTAAATTCGCAACTAAGAAATTCATGTGTAATTCGTACAGGAAAACTGTTATTTTATCAATAAATTTTATCGAAACATAAATTTTTAATCCTTTCGGTTACGTCATATCCTCAAATCTTATCCGTTTTGTTATTAAACTTTTTCGAAATTTTTTCAATAAAAGAAAAATTAAATAATTTAATATTATTATTTATAAATTTCAATTCAACTATTTTCTATATAATAAATGAATGATGTTCGATCGATTATTTTAAAAATTGTGTATTGTGATTATGGTTTGTATTAGTTACTTGTAATATTGATTATTACAATTAATTATATTGCATATATGCATACATATAATTTACTTAAGAAAGAGATTTAAATTTATTTTATATAAAGCATTTATAAAAGTTATTATTGGACTTCAGACAAAAAAATCTTAATAAACATGGATCTAAAAATTATTAGTTTCGAGAATATTAGATTCTTTTCTATTTTAAATCTGAATCTAAAACCAATAAAAGAAACGTAAACTTATTTTTATTAATGATACAAGGAATTTTTCAATGCATGTGTGTATCAGAAAGATAGAAATATGTGCACATAAAATAAATAGGATATATTGTTATAAACACTCTTTATATCATATCACATCGAGTTTTAAAAAATAATTTGAAAATAAATTTATATTTTATTAATTTAATTCGCGAAAGCAGAATATTCGAATAATGCAATATAAATAATACTAATATACGTAATCGTTATTTAAATATTTTTTATATAATGAATAACAAAAATGAAACAGATAGAAGATATATTGACAAATAAATTAATAAACAAACGTTTAACTATTAAAAATTTTATTCTTCATAAGGAAATATTTATTTTTACAAAATAAAAATATACAGCTATTTAACTAGATAATAAATTCTAACTATTCAGGAGCTTGGTTCGCATTATAATAGCAAAATAGCGAAACCGAAAGTTATTTGCATGAAAAAAAACAGGAGCTTGCTAAAAAAGAGAAGAAAAAAGAAACAAAGCTTAATTAAAGAATGTTCTTGTCTTCCCTGCGGATACAACTTGTTGCATTTAATTTAAATAAGAGAAAGAGAATAATAAATAAAACATCATCTTTATTACTAGGATAAACAAAAGGGTTTCTTTTTTCAAAATAATTGAACAATTGTTATTCATTATTACAAAATTTTAAATAACAATGAATCAAAATTATTAAAAAATAAATATTCTTTATCTAATAACAATTGGAAATTTCAGTTTCAATTATTTAAACATAATGAAATAAAATGGATAATAATAATTATTAGAAACTAATTAAAAATGATTATTAAAAAGAATTTCATAAAATTATACACTCTTTTTTCGATTACAAATGAAATAATAAAAAAATAATAATAATAAAAAAATCTAATAAGTCGATTAATCATTTCATATAAAACTAAATCTTATAATTTAAGAAAATAATAAAAAAAAAATAAAATAAGAAAATAAAATAAAATAAAAGAAAATAATTTTTCTTTTTAATTTATCAAATTTATGAAAAACATCTCCAAAAATGCAATTTTAATTTTGAATATTTGAATTTTTGCTCTTTTATAAAAAACGAGAAATATGATTGCACATAATTAATATTTTTTTTTAAATGATTTCCATTCATAAAAGTAAATAATATTATCTCATCGCTAAAAGAGAAAATCGTACACGAGATTGAACGGAACTTCACGAAAGCAATATCAATGATTTGATTGTAGTTGGAGAAGTTCGTCTATAAATCTTCATGGAGATGGTATAGGTCAAACTAAAAGTACGATGTAAAGTTCATTTTGAAAAGTAGTTTGGAAACTCTGACCCAGAAAATCGAATGACTTTAGCAACTTCTTGGACCAAAAGGATCCGTATCCGCTTAAACCAATCAAATATTCCGGAACTTAGACTTTTATCTACCTTAAATTTCAAGTGTAATAAGCTGTTCGATTAACTAATGAATGCAAATTATTAGAGTTATGAATAATCAATTTATATGATAAATAACATCAAATTTCGGATTCTGAATAGTTTATAATAATAAAGTGCTTAATCAACTCCATGAAATCTATTTATATTAAATATGTATTAGGATGAGATAGTTTACTGAATTTACATTATCATTAATGAATCGTTGATTAAATCAGAAAGATTATCTTGGTTTATAGATGAGGCACTACAATAATGCTATCATAATAAATTATCATAGTAAATTAGTTCATTCCTGAAATTTAAATTTTCTATTATTTTCTTATTATTATCGTGATATATTATATAATTTAAGCGTAATTTAGTTTCTATTAATTTATTAATAAATTACTTCTTTTCACAGAAATATTAAATTAATATTAGATGATATAACGTTAATTAATAAACTTTTTTTTTGAAGCCAAGGATATATATTTCTACATAAAACGAAATTATAAATTAGAAATTTGAATATTGGAAATAAAGAAAAATATATATTAGAAATTGAATATTCTATTATTATTTAATTAAAAAAAGTTAAAAAAAGCATAGTAATAGAAAAATGTAAAAACCATACCAAGAAAACAAGATAAGTCATTTTTTTGATTTTTTTCATTTTTCATATAATACTAATAATAAAACAAAATAATTTTTACATTTATACAATTATAATAAGATTGTTATAATTATAATTTTTATGGAATAAAAATACATATATCAGTTTGAAAATTGAATACAACTTATTTTTTCTTAAATTATCGTAATATTGTACTCACTTCTAAAAAAAAAAAAAATTCACTTTAGGGATTATTCATTAAAATTACTAATTATTAAATTAAATTTCAAGTTTTCATTAAATTAAAATAATTTCTCTTAAAACTTCAAGGAACAGGGCAAGTCTTCAATGCATTTCTCAGAAACCGCTTAATTATTCATCCATCAATTAACCACCATTGCGACCAACGATGGAGAGTTAATTAAGGCTCGAGCTTAGCCTTACACCGCAATTTTTCGGATCAATTCAGCAGAAACAATTTTCGCAACTCAGCCCACGAGGACAGAGCACAGAGAACAAACCACCTAACTTTCGTGAAAACGAAATACGAACGGGACTAAGCCTTGGCTCGTTACCGAGGGGGAAAATCGGAGTATTTAGGTCGACGTTCACAATGCATGGCGTACTTAACAGTGGCCTCTTTGTTTCCCGTTCTGCAGTCAAAACAGACCTAGTTGCAGTCTAAATTAGTGGCGCACAGTTAACCCTACCGGCTAAAATCGTCATGCGAATCGATTAAACATCCCTCCGGCTCCATTTCGAATTGGTTTATGATCCGTAACCTATGGAGGAGGGAAGGCTACGAATACGAGACAGAATGGAAACTTGATACACCAAGGTTTCGATCTATACATAATACGGATAATTTTGACAATGATTGAAATATCAGGTTGAAATATTATGACACTTGAAACAGTCTTTATTGATATATTATTGATAATTTTGTTTAAAAAATACTTCTTTATTTAATTTAATTTATTTTCTGTTTTATGAA